ACTTCTTCCTTTACATTTTGTAAATTCTGACTATAACTTACATTACAGTATTGAATGTTGTTGTTATGTTGTTGTTGTTATGTGCCGTCGAGTCAAACCCGACTCATAGCGACCCCTCCTTGGGTTTCCGAGGCAGTATCACTACGGAAGTAGGATTGCCCAACCTTCCTTCCGAGGAGTGGCTGGTGGGTTTGAACCGCCAGCCGTCTGGTTAGCAGGCAAGTGTCTTAGCCACTATGCTACCAGTTCTGACTATAACTTACATTACAGTATTGAATAGTAGTGGTTAAATGGGCATCCTTGTTTTGTTAATGATCTTAAGGGTATATCTTCTAGTCTTTTAATTTCATTTTTCTGCTCTGATATTTGTCATTTCCTTCCTTCTGGGTAGCTTTGGACTTGGATTGCTTTTTTCTTACAGTCCTCAGTATGTAAAGTTACTGATTTGAGGTCTCTCTTTTTGAATGTAGGCAGTTACCACTATAAATTTCCTTCTGATCACTATATTTGCTGTGTTCCATAAGTTTTAGTATGTTGTGTTATAAAAATGGCATGACAGGGGCACTTGACTTTATGAGGGGGAGAGAGAATCACCATCAACATCAACGACGGCCTAGGGCTGATTCCTATGAAGCGGAAGTCAAACGTGCCTACTCTCTCCAACCGTTTTACCAGTTCTGACACCACCTGTCCCTCCCACAGGACTCTGCCTCTCTGCTGGGTTCAATAATTCACTGTAGTGGCCATCTAGAACTCACAAACTGAACTCACAGTTATGAGGTTTATTAGGAAAATAACAGGGTCAGGAATAACACAAAGCTCTTTATCTCTACCAGTGTGTGCCTAGGAGCGCTCCACTTTGCCAGTAAACCTCAGCCTGAAGGCACTTAGCTCTCTTGCTCCATGGGTCTGAAAGCCTATCTCCTCAACAGATGCCCAACAGGCACCCCACTCTGCCAGCAAGCCTCCTGCTTGAAGTCCCTCAGCTTTCTTGCTCCCTGGCTTGCAAGTAAGTCCTTCCTTATTAGTAAGTACATGAATGTACATGGGGCTAAATGCTCCAATCAAAAAACAATGCAGAAAAATTTTTTAAAATATGACACAACTGTATGCTGTCTATAAGAGCCACATCTTAAGTCAAAGAACACAAATAGTTTGAAAGCAAAAGGATAGAAAAAATATTCCTTGGGAAAAAAAAATCAATTAATCCGGAAGATAAAACCATTTAAAATATATGTATATAGCTAAGATTAGAGCCCCAAAGCATATAAAGCAAACACTGATGGAATTGAAGAAAGAAACAGACAGTTCTAACAATAATAGTGTAGACTTCAGTACACCACTTTCAATAATATTTAGGTTTTGTGTCTTTCAGTTCCAGGTGTCTTTGACTAGTGTCTATCTTTTTATTGATTGATTGATTGATTGATTGTGATTTGGGTGAAGATTTACGGAGCAAATTCACTTTCCATACAGCAGTTCACATATACTTTGTCTCATGTCATTGACCACAGTTTACCACAATGCAACAGCTCCCCTCCCACTTCCTCCCCATAGTTACCTCTTCCCAGTGTCCATCCCTCCATACACTCCTGCCTCCTGAGCTGTCTCCCTGTGCATAAGCAGCCCTTCTTTCTCCTATGATTGTTCTCTCCAAGGAGTGTATCTACTTGAGGTAAATGTTCAACTCATATGCCTGTATATTGTTTGGCTGGAAACACAGGTGTGGGTTCAATTCCAGACCTGAAGGGCAGCTAGGGGCCATAGTCTCAGTGGTTCCACCAGGCTCTATCGGACCAGCAAACCTGGTCCCCACTTTTTTTTTTTCCTCCAAATGATTTTGAGTTTTGTTCCACATTGTTCTCCCTCTCTATCAAGGGTCTCCTACATAGATCCCCTTCCAAGTGGATGACAGGGGTAGCCGGGCACCATCTAGCTCTTCTGGTCTCATAGTTGTATACGCTGCCGATCGGATGGTGTACCAGTCGCTAGGACTAATTGTTTCCATGAATTTTGGTTTTCTTCATTCTTCTTTGCTCTGGACGAGGAGAGACCCATTGTTGCATCTAGATGGCAGCTAGTGTCTGTCTTTTTATTTATGTTTTCATTTTGTTCATGCATCGTTGTCTTGATTTCCTTTAGTACTTTATCTGTGTTTTCTTTTAGTTCTTTGAGCTTTTTCATATTGTTGTATTATATTTTTTCAATGTACTCATTATCCATGTTTCTATAGAGAAAATTTCTCCCTTTTTATCTTGTTCCTTTTAATTGGCCATCATTTCCACTTTCTGTGTGTCTTGTGATTTTTGTTATTGTTGAAGCTTACACTTTCATAATGTGTTAGCTTTCTTAATCTTCTGTATTAAGCTTTGGACACATTAATTTGTGCCAAAAAAAACTCAAACAACAGTAACAACAAACTGTTAGTTAAGTGCAGTCTTTGTGTGCAGATTTGCTCACCACTCCCTCCCCTCTCCTGTGAGAACTCTGGATCAGACCAGATCAAGGTTTCATTCCTTCAGTTGCTCCCAGATAGATGAGAAAACATGCACTAATTAATGTCCTGTTCAGGAGGCAGTGACTTCAGTCCTCACTCACAACTCCCTCCTTGTTCTTTTTGAGCTCCAATTAAGGCCAGACTGTGAGGTCCCAGTTTTTCAGACTGTACCCCTAATGGTCAGAATATAAACCCTGAACTGTCCTCCAAGAACTTATGTCCTATTTTCTTGGAATCCAGATACTGAGGCTTTTCTTAATGAACAGGAGAATCTAGGGTTGGCTAGAGATATGGATGTGGCTCTGCTGCAGGTGTCTGTTTGCCACACTAGGAGCAAAAGGGTAAGGACAGTGTTGTTGTTGTTGTTATGTGCCATTGAGTCAGACCTGACTCATAGCAACCCCTCCTTGGTTTTCCAAGGCATTATCACTATGGGAATAGATTGCCCCATCTTCCTTCCAAAGGGTGGCTGGTGGGTTTGAACTGCCAGCCTTCTGGCTAGCAGTCAAGTGCCTTAGCCACTATGCTACCAGAGCTCCTAAGGACAGTAGAAGAAGAGATATTCCTATTATTTGAAATTCATCCTTTAGTTTTTTTCAGTTTGTGGCTGCTTGCTCCTGTTCTTTATCTACTTGTTCAAGGTTCTTAAGGATTGAACAGATTTCTAGTTTTTTTTTCTTGGTGTCCATGTTGTTGTTGTTGTTATGTGCTGTTGAGTTGGACCTGACTTACAGTGACCCCTCCTTGGGTTTCTGAGGCAGTATCACTACAGAAGTAGATTGCCTAACCTTCCTTCCAAGGAGTGGTTGGTGGGTTTGAACTGCCAGCCTTCTGGTTAGCAGTCAAGTGCCTTAGGCACTATGCTACCAGAACTCCTGGTGGTGTCCATGTAGGGAAGGCTGAGATCTTAGATCTGCTCACACTGCCATCTTCCCAGTGTTGCCAGTGTCTTGTTCTTTTGAATACACTCTCATTGCCAAGTTCTTTGTATGCCCTATAATTTTTTGTTGTAGACTGGACATTAAAGGAGCTCTGGTAGCAGTCTTTGCTCATCACTCTTTCCCCTGCCCTGTGTAAGCTTCAGTTTAGACCAGACCAAGGACTTAGTTCATCAGGCATTTCCTAGACAGATCAGAACAGACACACTGAACAGTTTGTCAGCAAAGTCTGCCTTGTTCACTCCAGATCCAGAAATTGGGGCCCTTTCTTTTAAGAGTAATGGAACATCTCTGTTGTGGCTGTCTGGCTGCTGTGTCAGAAGGGGGAGGGATGGGAATAGGGGAAAAGGAAGTTTTCCTTATTTTAGTGAGTGACCTTTTTTTCTGGTTTCGGTGTATGATTAGTTTCTGGACTCCTTTACCTACTTTTCAGAATTCTTACAGTATCGAGATTATAGGTGATCATGTGGGAGGGTTGAGATCTCACACAGTCATTCCTTAGTATCCATAGGAGATTGGTTCTAGGACCCCCTGAGGATACCAAAATTCACAGGGTGCAAATTCCTTTTATAAAATGGCATGATATTTGCATATAACCTATGCACATCCTCTTGAATACTTTATAATACCTGGTATAGTGTAAATGCTATGTAACTAGCATTTTATACTCACTCAGTCTTTGCTTTGATTGCTTTAACCATTTAATTGCTCTTTTTCCCCCCTTCAATATCTTTGATACTTGGTTGGTTGGATCTGTGAATGTGATACAGAGGGCCTACTGTACTACTCACTCTGTCATCTTCCCAGGATTCTGTTCATTGGCTTTTAATCCTTGTGCTTGTTGCCTTGTGGTCACAGGATGGTTGTTGCAGCACTAAACCTTGTATACAGATTCAACGCTAAAAAATGAGAGCATATGGTATAAGGCAAACCTGTACTTTCAGCAAGAAAACAAATATTTTCCCAGGACAAACCTCCATATTACCCCCCAGGGAAGACTTTTGACTACATGTTATTGATCTTAACTGTGCCCCCCATTGTCCTATCTACCACCACTTGAAAAGTAAGTTTCTGCCACATAAACCTAAACCCATTGCCCTTGAGTCAGATCTGACTCATTGTGACCCTTCCTTGGGTTTCCGAGGCAGTATTACTACGGAAGTAGATTGCCCAACCTTCCTTCTGCCACATAGCACCATCAAAAACTGCTAATTTTAAATTATAGAATTGGTGATTAGGGTTTTATTTGCATGGAAGAATTATTATTCACCTGAGAATTCAAATAAATGGAACTTTACTACTGGATAAAGGGGTTATTTGATATGGATGAGGGCTCTCAGTATGAAGGACTGGTGAACTTAGCCATTTCTTATTTGCGTAAGTGTGTGTTTAAAGAAGGTATATTTTGCTTTGACTATTTGGTCATAACTATTTTCAGTTTCCATTGGTGTCTTTTGAATATTGTACTCCTGCTTTTTGAGATGGATTTAAAATGAGAAGAAATGCTCCTTTCTTTCCTAAAGATCGATTTTTTATTCTTTAATTTCTCTTTTTGTTTTCCATAGAATGTTGGCTCAATTAAGAAACATCATAGAGATAAATTCAACCCAGAGGTAAGTATCTTTAATATCTTTAGTTAACAAGTGTTAGGTTTATTATCTTGTGTTATTTCTTGGTTGGCTTTTTTACTTCAAGTATGATTAGAATATTCTTACATTGTTACAACACTTGTTAAGTGTTATTACATCATATTTATAAAGTGGCTTTTCCTTATCACAGCACTAGAATTCCAGTTAGCAGCTCCAACCTTGATCTGTTCCTATTCACACCAGGCTTGGCTTTCTCCTTTTTGGTTTGTTTCCTTTACTATTGTGTAAGGAAGGATTATTTTGGGTGTTTCTAGTCATTTCTCATTGATAAGGTACTTTCCACTTCTGTTCTCAAGGATTAAGGCTCCCTTCCTTTGTCACTGAGGTGCAGTGGTTAAGTGCTTGGTTGCTAACCGAAATGTCAGCAGTTTGAACCCACTTAGCAGCTCAGCAGGGTAAAAGGCCTGACAATCTGCTTCTGTAAAGGTTACA